AATAATAATAATAATAATAATAGACTAATAGTCCACTCCAAATTTTATTAAACCGAAACGGAAATTCTTTATGCCCAATTGATCGTGAGCCCGGCAGCCACTGAGCAGCGCCAGATCGACGTTGCTCTATCCCTTATTGTTGAACGCCAAACAAGGTGTGTATATTAATTAGGCATGATACGTGGCAATTAATGCGTGTAATTAATTTAATCAACCGTTCAGGTGATGGCGTTTTATAATGTGATACCCGTTTATATTTCGTTTAATCCAAGTAGAATAGTGAAACGTAAAGGGTTTGTGTTGCTCTTAATTAAAAATATTGACTAAATTGTCGCCTTTTCTGCTTCTGTCATAATTGGGGGGGTTACGTTGGTTAACACTTTTGCAAAAAAATACTGGGGAAAAAACAGGGATGGATGCTACGCGCAACAAATATATTAACTTCTTTAACATTCCGTTTCCATGGCAACGACCATTTTTTTTTTACATGACAGTGACTTCAAATGACTCCAATGTTTATTAAAATGAAACGGTCAGCTAATTAAGGTTAAAAGATGATTACCATTTGTTTAATGTTGTTGAAACAAGTATAGTATTTTCTAGATGTCCAATAAATATATCGGTTGTATAACACCATAGAGATATGCATAACAACAAACAAATTACATTTAAAAAAGAAACAATGTACATTGTACTTCAACTTCGGATACTGATCACAGAACAGTAACATTCTTATCATCTTTATGACGTTATTGATTGATAAATGATTTTTGTTCTTTTTTCGATTAATATTTGTTGTTCTTTTAATCTTACACGGTCGGTAGGGAGCAAACTTTAGATAATGTTTACAACGTCTTTTAACATAATGGAATTACAGAGACCACAATATGGGGAGCTAAGGGAGTTCAAGTAGTGAGTACTCCCCCCCCCCCCACACACACACACACACACGCAAACATAAACATACTATTTAATCAAACGGGCTCATGCCCATCAGCTATAAGACCAGAATAGTTGGGGACTCCGCGGGCACTCCGTTTACCTCGGGTACTTATTTATTTATTTATTTTTTATTTATTTCTAATATTTTGACAGGGTAGCCCATTCACCAACAAGTAGTGGTCTTCCATGGGGCCCTGAATGAACATATTTACATCGTTTATAACATTTATACAGAACAGTTACAAAAATAATACTCGTTTGCAAAATAAATATAATCATTAACCTAGTAAACAGTAATGTCAATAGGAAAATATTAATTAAGTCGCAATTATGTGAATAAGTTATGTAAATATTACAGAACATGCACGTAGTGTATGTACGGCTGAGCCATTCACAAATTACAACTTTGTTTAAACAATCTCTTAAATGAATTGACAGAGGAAGCCGTTCTCAATGAATTATCTAGCTTATTCCATTCAAATATGGAAGAAACAATTGGGCTACACTTATAACAATCAGTGTGAAATCTAGGCACACGTAAACATCCACTGTCTATTTGCCTTGTATGATGCTCATGTACATCATTAGGATTGATTAAGCCTACCTGAAGGTAAGAAGGTGCTAAGTTATGAACGCATTTATATATCATCATAACGCGACTTAACTCAAACCGCTTGTCTAGTGTCATCCATTTAAGACTTGTGAACAAATCAGCCGACGGTGTGTCATATGTCTTGTTCAATATTATTCTTGCGGCCCTCTTTTGAATTTTGGGGGTACCCCAATTATCAAGTATTTCCTCAGTTCTATAAAGTGTAGAAACCAAGTTGAATAAAAGAGAAAGAGAAACAGCAACAACAACAACAGCAACAACAACGAAAACAAGAAGAAAAAGAACAACAACAACAACAACAATAACAACGACAAGATCAAGAACGAGAACAAGATGGGGGGATGATACAATAAACAAAGGAATGGCAAACAAAAGACCAATAAATATAATATTCCGTCATGAAAAAACGAACGTTTATGGCATTTTCTGTACGGAGCAAAGTAAAGTGGACATCGCAAGATACGTCATAGTGTTGCCAATCATTTTAGTGTTTCACTGATGACAACTTTAATTCATAACTTTCCTATTTTTAATGTTTAATGCTTAAAGTTTGACTCGTTTGTTTCTCGCGCTTTTCTGTTGTTATTTGTAACCCTAGCTAAATTAACAGGATAAACGACTAAAATGAAAAGGAAATGGGAGGAAAAAAACCTCGAGAAGAAAAGAAAGTTAAAAAGAGTAAGTCTAATCAGAATAATATCTTCGTTTTATGAATTTCATTCAGAATAGAAAGAAAATATAGAATGAATAGGAGGAAGAGAACCTTATAATGAACAACCATTATGTTTCTTGATTCATCTGTTTTGCAAAAATGTGATTGTATTTCCATGGAACCTAGGGGTGGTCTCAACTGAGCCCGGTAATCTCATTTCCGTATATCACGCAACGCGTTAATCCATTCAAGCTATCATTTTCCTTGTCCCGTCAATTTTTCCTTATTCGCTTTAAAAGGATTTTGCCCCCAAAATTGGCAATGTTTTTTGCTCAAACATGAACGATATAACATGAATTATAATTTGAATTTGTATATAATGGTATAATTGTCTTTTTCTTCCCCTCTCTCTCTCTCTCTCTCTCTCTGCCCGTCTGTCTCTCTCTCTCTCTCTCTCTGCCCGTCTGTCTGTCTGTCTGTCTCTGTCTCTCTCTCTGTCTCTCTCTCTCTCTCTCTCTCCCTGTCTTTTTTTTAATTCACTACAAAAGGATTTGGTGTTTTTTAATCGTGATAAGGCAATACTTTGTTCAAAACATGAACGATAAAACAAGAATCATTATTTGAATTTGTCTATAATTTTAAAATAATTATCTTTCTCTCCCCCCCCCCCTCTCTCTCTCTCTCTCTCTCTCGCACCCCTCTCTCACTCTTTCTCTCTCTCTCTCTCGCTCTCTCTCTTTCTCCGTCCGATATGCTTCTCTCTCTCTCTCTCTCTTTCTATCTCTCTCTCTCTCCCTCCCCTCTCTCGCTCTTTCTTTCGCTCACCCTCTCTTTTTTTTTCTCCGATTGTCTGTAACTATGTCTGCTTGTCTATCACTGTCTCCCAAAGTTCTCTCTGCCCCCAACTCTTTACCCGTCTGTTTCTGTCTCTGACTGCATGATCATCTCTGTTTTCTATCCTTCTTCCCGCTCTCTCCTTTTCTCCCTCTCTTTCCCGTTTGCTCTTGACTTCCTCTCTTCTCCCCAACTCCTTCACTTTTCTTCTGTCGGTCTAATAAATTGGCTCATTATAGTGTGAATCATCAATTTGAATACAGCTTATAATATAGACAAGAACCTGCATGGGTAATAAACACTCGACAAAGCTCGTTCAGTCCTAAATCCAAACCTCTTTCTGCATGACATCACACTCATGACTCCAATCCAGGCACGTACACAAACGAGGCGGATTCATACGGACCCCCCCCCCCCCCCCCCCCCACTCCGGGGTCGGGGGGACCGCATGCGTGTTCCCAAAATTTCCGGTAAAGAGGTACTTTTTACGCACCAAAATCCGGCCCGTATTGACTTTATACACCGGACTTAGGGGGGGGGGGTGTTTTCAAAAGGAGGGGTACTTTTTACGCACAAAAATCCGGCCCGTATTGACTTTATACACCGGACTTAGGGGGGGGGGGGTGTTTTCAAAAGGAGGGAACATGCATACGCGTACCCTAAATAAAACTGAGTGGGGGGGAGGGGAACGCCCCCACCCCTCCCACCGGCGCCTTTTAATAAACCAATATAGCTATTGTGATTCCATTCAGCAGATCACTTTTCAATTATCAAACTGCGGTGAAGGTTCAACACTCGGAACATGCAAATTAAATGTTGTCTAAAGACCTTCTCAATATCCTTCGAAACGCTCGTTACAAAAATTATGAAGGATTATGTTAATTCTCAATCACTTTTGAATTGCTGCAAGGACTCATCTTTCAACTGCTTACTGTGGTGGCATTCTAATAGTATGAATCATTACAAGAGATAAGTCCCATTCTCATTCAAAGCACATGCGACCGTGAATGGTAATTAAAGAGAATGAGTAAATACAGAAAGACAGTGGGGTGAACAGGGGCAGTTAGAACCCCCACGGGTGAAGCCAGCGTATACCCTTCCCCTTTAAATCCAGACTTCCAGAGGAAAATGATACTGCTTTCAATGAATCTTCAGGGCTATGTGGGGCTTCCCAAGTGCCTGCCCCTCCCCCTTCGATTGATAAATTTCTGTGTGCGCCACTGTGCAATTTTTGGTAAGGAATAAGGATTCGCATTTCGTTTTGTTTTCTTAGTCAAAGAAAGAAGCTCAATTCTCTCAACATTACTCCCTTGCAGGGTTTGCAGTTTTTCACATTAACGCCCCACCCAGCCCCCCCCCCCCCCCTCGCTCTCTCTCTCTTTGTTGCATGTAATGGTTATCCTGGGTCCGCTCTCGTAAGACAAGAGTTCTGAAGTTACAACCTTCATTTTAACTCCCTGATTATATACTTCATTAAGAATCATGCCGTGATGTCTGACCATTCATCCCTCTAGCAAGTAGCAACGGGAACCTGGCAAGCGTTTCCGCTTCCGCTCCAGACGCCTCTCTCTCTCTCATTCACAAGAAGGGGGGGGGGGGGGGTTGGAAGGGTGGGGGTATGGGCAGTTAATGTACTATCATGAATCACATAGTTTTCAAATTAATCAAATCAGTGAAAAAGGAATCATGCTTGATATAACTACGTTGATTATCGAAACTGTCCCTCCAACCATTGATTAATTATCGAAAGGAATGGCTAGATTAATTCACCTAATTTGTTTCTATATCGTTATGAATGTGATTTCTAAATCTTGGCCTATGATAACTAATAAGCCTGCATGCATCACGCTGCCCCGCCCCTTCGTGTCACAACTACCTGTTATCTGGTTATGCCACTTCGATATGCTTGTTTGTCACCTATACCTCGACGGAAACAAAATCTCACCGCCACATTCTTTGCACACTATTATCACCAACGTGTAAACAAGGAAGAAGACAAAAACAGTGATCTTGTTTCATGAAGGTCCATTGCTAACACAGAATAGCCAGCCAGCCATGCGATAGTAATTTTCTTTCTTTCCTAAATCGCATAAAACGACTCGTCACCCGGCTGTAGCCTAGAGCGCGAGATCGGATCGGAGAGGGTGTGACCATTTTTGTGTGGATGTTTCCCGCCATTATCCCGATCTAGGATACAACAGAGATCCTACGCATTATAGCACCTTACCTCGCGAATCGTATTTTCAAACCATTTACAATACGAGCCAGACCGTGAGACACAACATTCTCTCTTTTTTACTGGATATATTACCAGTACAATTGAGCTAGCTCAGTTTTGTTCACTCGCGAACAATAGGAACACACCTTCTTTTTTGTAATTGTCTGGTGAGACGACTCGACCTGAAGCAACTAGGTTCGGCCGACCTTTCATTGTAGTATATAAAATAGGGGAACATTTCAGAGTTGAATATCCTCTCTTCAATTTGACTCAGCTTCAGGAGTAACACAGAAATAAATCATCATGACGGGCCGAGCACCACCAAGCGGAATCAACAAGGACATTGAGGACAAGGTGATTATTATTGTCATTAATCAATTATGATTTAAAGATAAAGACCACTTATGGTCATGCGACTGCATTGTGAAAGAAACGTTGTGGAATCGATCAGAAAAGGTTGATCATCTAGCATATAAGTATTGGTGTGTACTGCAAGGTTCTGGAATCATCAAAATGATAAGAAATTTGGCCCAGTCTTGGTAAAGTTACAAGCACTGTATTACGTACACAGAAAGACGTGCGTTTATCTCTCACACACCAATAGATAAACTAAGTAAGCGATTTCCCGGCAAAATGTTTATCATCATGTATTAGTAAAAACATATTCTTTCACATGATTGGTAATAAGAGCTTCCATTTCATTTTTTGAAATTGGGGCGTTTCCAATACTGGTCTTTACCTTTAAACATGATCGCAAAGACTTTCAAGAAATCAACCCAAGGGCGATTTAAAAGCACCTTTGTATTGTCTACAGAAAACGGATTCGAAATATTATGTTATAGTCGTGTTCACACAATTCAAAAAGTGGACGCACATGAGTATCGAAATTGAGTTTTTGCGACCGTGTTATTGTTATCCATTTTATACCAAAGGATAATTTGATGTATTTGCTTGTGCTAAATATAATTTTTTCAAATAAATAAAAATGTATCCTTTCTCACCTTGTATGATTATCTGTATTGCGATTTATTTTCAAGATTATATATCATAAATTATATCTGACATAAATAACCAGATAACCTTACTCAAATATGTGTCAATATAATGTCAAGTGGGCCAAGGATTTACAAAATGATATTCATGGTTTTACTGCAATATACATGTACATGTACCAGCATAATATTCAAGACAATATTAACATAATGGATGTATACAGAGGCATGCACTACCTTCCAATTTGTTAGTTCTTCTCATGTGGTTTTACATATCTTTTGAAATAAGCACGCACATTCGTGTATTAGTATTATGAGACTTAACAACATTTATATACAAAATGTTGCTAATAATAGTGTGCCAAATGTGATTATGGTGTTGTTATAATGGGCATCAGTGCAGTGTTGTCAGCCGGTGAGCTTTCATTATTTTATGAGTTTGAGTAGGTTATTTGGCCTGTGGAGAGATGTTTTTCTTCTTTTTGTCAATCTAAACTCTCAAGGTATTTTAATAAAAAGGAATTTTCAAAAGTATTTCCCACTTTCCCTTTTCATTTTACTAGCCGAGTATATTATAGTATCGATACAATTTACACTTTCACTATTTATATGTTTTCATGTTATAGGGTTCCGGTATGTGTAACACATTACGTATCGGGGCGTTAAGCCTAAAATATGTTGGATATTCTAGTTTTGTTTATTGTAAAGACTGATGCCCCAACGTGACATGTTTTTCTCAAAAGCAGGAGAGCGAAACAGAGGTCATTATAAGTATGCAAGAATGTAGCGAAAACAATGTTCTCACCTTCGCAAGTACTATACAGTCATACCGCCAGCCCGACCCCCAAAACGACCATAAACCGACAAATCGGTGCCATTCGGGGGAGGGGGGGGGGTGTCGGCAGGTGTCGGTTGGCTGGCACTTTTAAGTCTGTCTGTTATCGGGTTTTGTCATCCTATTGTCGGTTTCCATAATATCTTTTCAATATATTTGAAAGATATTATCTTTCAAATATATTGAAAAGATCCTTCCCCGCCCTTTTGTAGCAGACCGATCGGGGTCTATAGTCGGGGATTGGTATATGGTCCCAGAAGAAGAATAATGAGGATAACAAAAAGGGTAATAAAATTATGATGCAGGCAATTTGGGAAAGGGATACCCTTTTTATCAACATGATGATTAATCATGACTTAAGACAAGCAGTAAAATCAGACAAATAGATAGCGAAACATATAGTTGTAAGAAAATTGGGCAACGTATAACAATTTTAGGTATGATATTTTTAAAGACATTGTATAGTATATCTGTAAAGCGCTTAGAGACGTCTGAGATGTATTAAGCGCTATATAAAAGCTGAATATTATTATTATTAATCAAGGGAAACTTTGAAAATCACCTTTGTTATAATGAGTTTATGTCATTCTGTCACTATTATTCATTGCTTCAGTTTGTAATATATTTTGATACAATCAAGTTTCTTTTTTATCCCCAACTAAATTAATTCCCTCATAGATTGCGAACGTTATATTGATGTATGTTATGTTGCTTTATATTATGTTACTTTCAGGTACCTTCAAAAAGGTTCATGAATTTAACAAGCTGAGGCTATTTCAAATATCATAATAATTAATTTCATCTCTTGCCGGATATAATACATTGAAGTTGCCATTAAGTCGATTTTCTTAAATGATTGCGATCGTGCTAACAAAAAAAAATCCAGCAGAAGCAGAAAAGGCTACAATATTTATTATTGAATCAATTTTCTGATTAAGAGCAACACACAACCTTTATATTTCACTTTTCTACTGAGATTAAACGATACTGAAAAACAACGGGTTTCACATTATAAAACGCCATCATCATTCTGAATGGTCGATTAAACTAATTTCACGCATTAATTGCCGCATGTCATGCTTTATACACACTGAATTAAACCCTGACGATTTAACGGGAAGCTTTATAACACGTTCTTCGTAGTCTAGTCCCTACGGAGATGACAATCCTTACACCTGGGGGGGGGGGGGGGCATTTCACAAAGCATTTCTTCAATGACAAATAACAAAAATCTGTGACAAATCTGGTGATGGCCAATCAGAAGCAAGGATTTCAGTAGCTTATAACATAAAATGTCATTTGTCACTGATGACAAATTTTGTGAAACGCCCCCCTGCACACCGGGATGAAGTTTCATAATGATGTGAACGAGAATGATGCGAAATACTATGTTTTGATTCGAGAAGAAGACATAAATTTGAATAGTCCCTCCCTCATTATTTTGTTTGCGGTCGTATTCATGAATATTGTAAATAGGTATGCTGATGTGAAATCCTTCGAACAATAGCGCCCACCCCCCCCCCCCCCCCCCCACCCCACACCGAAATGATTATGATGGAGGCGCGCTCGTGCATGCAGTTTTTACCAAGGAGTTCGGGAAGCAAAATTAGTCAAATTTGCCCATCTCTCTCTCTCTCTCTCTCTCTCTCTCTCTCTCTCTCTTCCCATGTCCTTTTCATTCAAATGGGGGGATGCGTGGGAGGATGCCACTAGATGTAAGTCTATTACCATTTATTTTTATTTCAGGCGATAGTGATTAAGAAAACGATTATCTCTTTTGCTCCAGTCCGTGAACGGTATGGAGCAAAAGGAAATAACTAGATTAGAACTAATATGTCTGAAATATTATTAGGCATTGGTGTTTGTGAGTATTTTGTTTATGATAAAAGATTATTATCGGCATTTTCATTTCCGGAACCGGAAGGTAAATAGCATGCTACCACTTTAAGATGAAAACAAAAATGTAAGATCACTTGAGTCCTTTGTTCACGGAATTCCAAATGTCTTTGTTAGTAAGACGGTGGTCGCACATCTGGGGCCCGTTCCATTTTATCTGAAGAATATCTGACGTCATAAAGACATAGTGAATGATAAAGCTGCGCACATACCGCATCGATGACGCATCATTGGTCACTGTGTACCCAGACACTACTCAGACGAAAGAGACGATAGAACATTTACCCCCCCCCCCCCCCCTAATTTGTCAAGTTTCTTCTTCGCTTTCAAATACATGCACACGACTGTCTGGCGAGGTTGATTAAAGCGAGAATCTATCCTGATATTGAGTTCATAAAAAATCCAGTTTATCTGAAAAGTTGTGAATGAACTTTTGGTAGATGGGGAGTGAAAAATGGCATTTTATACAAGGGCAAGTAAATTGTTGGTAAAACAAACATCATAAGTCATTAATTGTTCAGTAAAATTTTAAGCTGTTTTCACCGATCATCGGAACGCTCAGAGGGGGAGGGGTGGAAGGGATGAAGAGGAGAAATTCAAAAAAAATATGATAAAAGAAAGGGAGAAAGTCGGGATCTTGAAGAAAAGATCGAAATATTTTAAGAGAGAGAGAGGATAGAGAGAGAGAGAGAGAGAGGGGGAGAGAGAGAGAGAGAGGAGAGAGAGAGAGAGAGAGGAGGGGGGGGGGTCGGAAAAAAAATCAATGATACGGAAGCATTTCCCGATTTGATGACGTCACTTTGGTTTACCAGGCCCAAACAGCAGCGAGCTGGACAGACGTAATCTACATTTTTGATCTCTATATCATCTTCAGCTCAGCAAGAGGTGTACTAGGCCTATTTTCTTTGCTGATTTAAAAAAAAAAACTTAGGCCTACCAATAAAAAGCGCCACTCCGTTTGAAATAAGCCTGAGTTTATTTGAAAGACATTGTGTCAAACTGCCATCAGCCTAATTCCATCATTTTCAAAGGCATAGTACTTTATTCATTCATTTGTTTATTTATTCATTTTCTTTTCATTTCCAGGAACATTAACATTAAAGGAGTATAACAATCACAAAGAATACAAGAAAGTTAAGTAAAATGATAAATACGATAACATTATAAAAGAAACCATCAACCTATGCCTGTGGATTACCAAAAGAAATTGAGTTTAGGTAGAAGGCTCTCCTCACTAGCTGATGTCATAATACATAAATATACATATTAGAGATACATAGATATAGGTAATTACATAAGATATATATTATTCAATATTCAATACCAAGAAGAAGCGAATGACAAATCATAAGATCATCATTATAAACAATTTTATGTTGTGCAGGTCGTAAAAGCGTACAGTTTTAAAAGAAGGAAGAAGACCCCCCAAAATAACTTAAATTTGGCAAAGAAAAGCATGAAATAAAATTACCTCACTTAAAACTATTTTTTCGTTATAATTAGTGTTGTTGACTATTGATCAGTCGGATTGTCGATACATTTTTTATCATTTCCAGGAAGATAGTTTTACTTATCATTAATTTTCTTTCCGCTATTCTGAAAATTAACGGGACTTCTCTTGTTGCATGAGC